AAATAAGTAATTGTACGTTACACTTATTACTATATATATATATATATTTCATTTCAGTTATTTCTCAATATACTTGCTTTTAAGAAGTTCTGAAACTATAAATGTCTACGATTGACTAAAGTTATGCCATCAAATATTTTATTTCTATTGAACGAACATAGTAAAAAGAAACAGAAAGAAAGAAAAAAAGAATAAAATGGTCTGAAAATATTATATTAGAAATGATATTTATTATTTTTGTTTCTTTTTTTTGTTTGTTATTGTTGTTATTGTATTCTGGTATATGAGATATATTTTAAGAAATATATTTTACAGAGTTGTCTCGATATTAAATTATATCTGCAAATAATAGCACATAATAATATGTATATTTAAGCATTAATAATGAAATACAAGTTTAATTACAAATTCTTTATCTACTCTTCGTCTTTCTATCTTTTTCATTAAATAATGTTTTCTAAGAAGTACTTTTATAATAGATAATATCATTTTAATTTCGTTGAAGAAAAAATTGTAGCTTAATGTATAGCGATAAGATGGTATTATCAATTGTTTTATATGCCTAAAGTAAATGTATAACATTACATAGTAAATTTAATTAATTAATTTAATTAAATTTTGTTTTTCTAAATTTTAATATTTTCAATAGAATATAATATTGCTGTTATATTCTTAAATGAATAATATTAATTTAATAGATACAGGCATATAATATTTTGTTACATAGTATATTATTACTCTAAAAAATTTTCATGCAAACGTTTAGCATATATTAAATGCTATTAAAAAATACTTTATTTTAATTCTTTCTCTTTCTCTTTCTCTTTCTCTCTACGTGTTGTTTAATCTTTGTAATAATAATATTATTATTTTTATTGTTACAATTTGACTAAAAGTAGCTTCATAGCAAATGTTTAAATAGTTTGGAAAAATAATGGTGGTCCACAATAGAATAAAGCTAAGGCATATTAGGTGGTAGGAGTTAAGCGATGCTTAATAATATCAACAGTTCGTATATGTGTATATGTTATTCGTAGAACTGTTATTTAAATTATGATCTAAAAATATCTAATGAAAAAAACTAAGGCCACTCATTTTCGTTTATTTTGTTTGTTTTTTTGATTCTGTTAGAAGGATATTATTTAATTGTCTTTAGAATGGAACTATTTTAACTGCATGATTATCTTTCGTTTATTAAGCGTATAGTCTTATGAAAATATTATTTGTCCTTCTCTTTGTGTTTCAGAATCAATCAAATTAAATAGAACTGTCTGCTAATGCACATGAAATTACTTAATGCAATACAATCCACAATGGAATGTATAAATTGTTCAAAGTAAGAAATTTAAAATGTGTTCTACGATGGTAGTAACTTCTAGATGATATCTAAACGTTATTATTTTTGTTATTGTGTGCATCTATGAAAAATTGAAAATAAAAAATAAAAAAATAAAAAAGATTAAAGAAAAGAAAGTTGGATAAACATACTAAAAGTATCGATTTAATAAAGATATAAATTTTGTTTAATAGACTTACAATGCAAAAGCATATCCATTAAATCTAATTCATATAGTAAACTTGACTAAAATCTTTGATGTGAATGGTAATGATCAAACCACGAACATCTTTAATATGCCTGCGACATATTAATTTGCCGCTTAAGACTTCACCTATAACAATAATTTTTATATTATTTCTTTTTTAATACTATAGTTTATAATGTTAGAAATATATATTAATTTAAATCTTACCTTCGGTTATACTAATAGGTTCTTTTAAAGAAAATACTGTTTGTTTCCAGTGGGTGGGAGAAGCATTTGGTCCAGTACTGAAATTGATTGCAGTTTCTAAATCAAAGAATACATCAAAGTAACCAATTATCGCAGTCAATGATCCTGTTTTTTTCACAGTTAAATTGAAAGGTGCGGAGAAGTTAACACAATCTGTAGTGACTGTGTATAAGTCAAATGTCTGAATTTCGGCAGCAGTGGTTATAATATATTCAGACCTACAAATTTCTATGCTTGGTTCTTTCAAAACTTCGCTTTTCATACAGCTCATTTTAAAACCGTAGACGTTTGACCAATAATCAATCAAATCCACGTATCTTTCTAAAAATTAATTTATCTTCCATTACTTTCTCGTAATATAAATTGAAAAAAAATATATAAGAAAAACTATATATAAAATTTGTAACATCGATTTAAAATATTACTACTTTACTTACGTGTATCACCACTTCCAACTATACTCATTGAACATCTGTTTGGCATTAGTACACCATTAGCGACTAAATAATGATCCCTTGCATAAATAACTGTGTCTAACATTCCTTCAAATAACAAAAAATATCCCATCCATTCGGAGATAATAGCATCTACTTTTTCTTCTCCGAGCGAGATATCTTCTAAGCGACCTTTCTTTAACGTAATAACGTTATCTAAATTATTTTCCCTATAATAAATATAAAATTAAAATTAACATATGTTTATACTTTTATCAAATATTTCTCTCTCTCTCTCTCTTTCTTATGCAAATAAGAATAATCTCAAATTAATATTTTATTTTCATTTATATAAGATACCTTATAATATCCATAGCCTGATATATTACATCAGACTGGTCAACGCTAATAACTTTGCGACAACCAGATATTGCTGCAAACATAGACAAGATACCTGTTCCACAACCAACATCCAACATTATACAATTATTAAATCTAGTAGAATTTGAAAACAGCGCATCACGATAACTTTTTGTTCTTATTGAATCCTATAGAGAAAAGAAAAAGTATATGATATTTTATTTATATGTAATACGTTTATTGAAAATATTAATATCAAATCTTATACTTAAAAGATATTTTATATAAAAAATAAATATACATACTGTCAGCATTTCATGATGAATGGCAAAATGACTGTATGTATTAAAATATCCCTCATCGGCATGCGAATTACGTTTCGTTTCAATTATTTCTTCTATGTTCTCTTGTTCGTCATCCAAAACTAATTTTTGTGCTTTTTCTACCATCTCGTTCACTTGCTGAAATTGTATTAATATATTAATTTAAATCTCTTTATAGTAATACGTCTAGCATGATAAAAAAAAAATAATAAAAAAAGAAAATCATATACAATATACAATGATCACATCTTAATACCTGTTTAGCTAAAAAGCATGCTATTTCACGTTGTTCTAGTTGTGCTTTAAGTGTCTGAATCGTCCTTTGTAGCTCAGCAAAATGCGCTTCCGATAAAGTAACGCACCCATTCTCTGAATTTACAGTGTAACTAATAGTGTTTACAGGTTTGTTTTCTAAATCTTCGACATCTTGAAGGAGAAAAAAAAATATTTGTACAGACACATATGCACGTATATCTGTACATGCACACGTCGCGTATAACATTACCATTTAAAACTATTAAGTGTAAATTTAATATTGGTATTGAAAGAAATTCATTTAAGAAATATTGTGTTTTGCGTATTATCAATAAAGGTACGTACTAGCATCGCGTTAAAACAATTAAATTATCCAATATTTTTTTTCATTTATTAGTAGCAGTACACATAGAAGCATGTTCTGAGAACTATCCATGTTATCAACGTTATACGTTAATCTCACCTGATATTATGCCAATTATAATATCAGAGTAATGTTGAATTTATATTACGTTATTTGGTATTTTTTGTATAACATTTGCATGCATCATTTTCCTATACATATAATATGTTGTATCAAATCTATGATTAATTCATTAATTAATTAACATTGAAATATATTGACAGATATAAACTGTCTATTACTCATGTACTATTAGTATGTTAACTATACACAATGCACTGCATAAAATGCTACTATATTACAATGAAACATAAACAGATATACAGGATGTCTTGTAAGTACGAGAGAGCAAGGTGTAATATTATATGAAAAACTATATGAACAAATTTTATTTCATATTTTCGACTTGGTTTTTCATATAGAATCATCCCCTGCTTGTTTGTACTATCAGTTACAGAAAACCCTGTATATACATATATTAGTAAATTACAATTTTACAGATTAAATTACAAATAACGGCTATACACATTAATTTTAATGTTAATATATACTTAGCCAACAGCATACTAATATCATAGATAATCAATAATAGCTTACCATACATTAGTAACGGATCATCCTCTATAACAGGATATAAATATTCATCATCTTGCCAATCTTTTATACATAAAGTATTTAATTGTTCTGGTTGAATATTTTTTTGTCGAATGAAATTGATTAATTTAATATATGAATAGGAATCAAGAGAGTGCTTTGTTATAAAATTGCTTAAAGCAAAATTATGAAGTACTTCAAGATGCTTCAATGCATTTGTTATTCCATCGGTAGTATCTTTACAAAAAAGACATGTAACGGTTTGAGTATCTTCATTGGTTTCACTCCAGTCATCACCACTATCCGCATCACTAGTTTCATCCATTTCAATGACCGGCATTACTTCTATTAAGAATAAAAAAAAAAATACAATTAAAAATAATTCTATGTACAAATTAAATAGAATAATAAGTATTTCGAAGTTATTATTGCACACGTATATATAGAATGATTTTAAATATAAAGAGAAATCTAAAAATGACATAAAATAATAATAATTCTATTATATATGATCAAATAGAAAAAAGATTAAACTTTAATGACTAAATATATATTAATTCTATACCTTGTTCTGTCATGATAAAGATTATAATGTTATTGATGCTCACGATTTTTTATACATAATGTTGTACATAATGATTTTTTTAGGTTAGAAAATCTATACAATGCATGAACTACTTTTTTATAAGATTAGGAACAAAGTATCATATTAAAGATTTTTTAAGTTGAAGTATAGAGTGGACACTGTCCAATGTTATTTACGAAAATATTTAGTTAGGATCAGTAACTTTTGATTACACACTATAAAACCGAAACGTTTCTGGGCATGCTCGAAATAGTCTTTTTTAATTGGTCATTGTTTTATGGACTCATTTACATAAATTTATCATGAGTATCAGTCCATCGTAACCTTGGCTTCGTTAATATACGTATTACGTTCATATTTTTGGTCGGAGTGGTGAAAATTAATTGAAATCCAGATTTAGTGACCCCTGACAAAAGGCACGAGGTGTAAGGAACAACGTATATTGATAATAGTCAGCGTTGTCTCATTCGAGCTCGTTTGTTCCATTTAGAAGGCCTAATAATGCTTACGGTAAATACAAGAGTTCAACAAGGCACACATGATTCAAGTAGTAAGAAATATTTGACGTCTACTATTTGAATAATGAAAGTATTTAACTAATCGTTCTTTTTTTTCTCTTTGATTGTTTTTTTATAGACTGCCTTGAGAGGGATCGTACGACGATCGTTTTCGACATCAAAATGTGCCCCAGCACAACAGGTTCAATATTTTATTCATATTTTCCAATTGTTAGAACATAACCTTTAATTAATGTTCAATCTATTATTATTTTTTAAAGATATATATTTATGTATTGTTAAAACAATGAATGACTTTAATCGTAGAATTATTTTCAATACTAATTCTTTTAATAATTATTTAACATTTATTTAAATAATGATTATCTAACAGTTCTGCTTGTTGAAGGACAGAGAAGGTCACATATTTTTAATTCTAATAATGTAATAGTTTTTATATTTGAATACTGATAAAGATAATACTTAGATTCTTTGGAATGTTATAATTGATATGCTAAGATTATGTTCTGACGTTCTCGTTTAATAAATCATTTTAATATTCATGTAATATTGTTACTGTAGATGACTGTGCGAGATGCTTTAAACTCTGCCCTGGATGAAGAAATGGAAAGAGACGAGAAAGTGTATTTACTTGGTGAAGAAGTAGCGCTTTACGATGGTGCTTATAAAGTTTCTAGGGGTCTTTGGAAAAAGTATGGTGATAAACGTGTCATCGATACACCGATCACAGAAGCTGGTTTTGCTGGCATTGCTGTTGGTTCTGCGATGGTAAGTAATAATTGTCATGTAAATATTAATGTAATCTAAAGAAATTATTCATTCTCATCTGATATAGGCTGGGCTTCGACCGATTTGCGAATTTATGACTTTCAATTTTGCTATGCAAGCAATCGATCAAATAATTAATTCGGCTGCTAAGACTTATTATATGTCTGCGGGTAAAGTTAATATACCAATTGTTTTCCGTGGTCCAAATGGTGCTGCAGCAGGTGTAGGTGCACAGCATTCTCAATGTTTTGGTGCTTGGTATAGTCATTGTCCTGGTTTAAAAGTAGTTTCGCCATATAATAGCGAAGATGCTAAAGGTTTATTAAAAGCTGCCATAAGGGATCCTGATCCAGTTGTCGTATTAGAAAATGAGATCCTCTATGGAGTTCAGTATCCAATGTCTAACGAAGCATTGGATAAAAATTTCGTTTTACCTATAGGAAAAGCTAAAATAGAACGTGTTGGAAATCATGTTACTTTAGTGGCACATTCCAAGGCCGTTGAACAAGCTCTTGAAGCAGCTAATGAACTTGCCGGGAAAGGGATAGAAGCTGAAGTTATTAATCTTCGTTCCCTTAGACCATTAGATATGGATACCATTATACAATCAATAGTGAAAACAAATCATTGCGTTACCGTAGAACAGGGTTGGCCACAATGCGGCATAGGCGCGGAAATTAGCGCAAAAATCTCAGAGAGTAAGTTTATATTCTTCATTTATTTATTTTATCTAAATTTATATTTAATATCTAATATGTATCGATAAATCTTTATAGGTGAAGCCTTTTATCATCTAGACGCGCCAGTAATTCGCGTTACTGGTGCCGATGTTCCTATGCCATATACGAAAAGTTTGGAAATAGCAGCATTACCACAAGGAGGCGATGTAGTCTTTGCTGTAAATAAATTATTAGGGGTAGAGTAGTAAATGATAGAAATATTTAGGTACAATTAATATCCTTTCGTCTCTGTTTTTCCTTTTCTTTTAAATTCAATTTTTAGTATATTTTTTTCTTTTATTTTAATATTTCTATATATATATATATGTATAAATAAATACATATAATAAGTACAAAGTTAGAAAAGGAAATAGAACAATTTCTTCAACATAAGATCAATCCGGATGCGAACATTTTTCGTCTCTTAATGTTTATGACTTAGATTTTAAACGAAATTAAATACGACATAATATGTTTATTTAACAACTACAGGGATTAACAAATCAGAAAATCTTTACACAGAGGTATTCATAAGGTTTCGGTGAATATTTAAACAATCAACGATTATATATATTCACACTATAATATATTCTTAAAATATATAATGCAATCACATATTGAATATTTATAAAATCCACATTTTAGGATAAATATTTTATTTATTGAACAGGACATATATTTCAATGTTAAATTATACTCCTATTATTATATATATTTAAATTATACTTTGCAATTTCTTAATCTCTTTTTTTTACACATGCAGATATATTGTTTGAACATTTATATTATAAAATGCTATGTTTGTAAATATGATAAATACCAATATACTGCCATATTTGAAATTGCCAACTGCCTTCATGTATGAGTTTGTGTCTCTAAAACAGAAATATATCAAACTCTTGCTGTATATTCATCAACATAATTAATCATATTTCAACATGCCGCATTTGTTTATTTATTACTTATTAGTGAGTAATAAATTATTATATCCATATCAATAATCTGTCTTGCCACTTGTTTGTTTTGATATGTTCCTTTTAAATATTTATCACATTTAATTTGTTTGTTGTTTCTGTGCTCGTTGTTATTGGTCATGTGTGATACATCCGTAATAAGCAACACGTTACAACTGTCATGTAACGTTCAAATGCATCTCTAATTTCAACCTCTCTGGAAGATAACATATATAATTCAATTGAAATAATGTTTTGCGTGTATAGAAAGTTCAATGACAAATATTTATACCTCAACACATCCATATCCAATGCACATTGTGTATAAACGGATAAGAAATTTCTGAGATCGGTATGAGACCAATTAACTTGCTTCCATGGTTCTATACATCTTTCAACTAATTCTAGAAAGAAAAATCTTAATTCTCTAGATCTGTGCAGACTACAGCCTATTCCTAAGATAGCTCTCGTGTAAGAACGGAAATTTGTATCAACTTCTTGGTACGAACGTTCAAGTAACATTGGTTTAAGTTTGATGCACACCAAGCTGAAATATATTTATATTAAAATAATTAGTATTTATTTATGGTATATTATCTTATATAGTATATAATATCTTATACAACTTACTGTTTGTGATGTTTATCGTTTTCTAATAGTATTCTACATTCAGCGAGTTCAACCAAAAATTCTCTATCAAGATCAGTATCAAAATACTCTGATCCGACACATCTATAAGTCCAAGCTGCCATCATACTATTAGCACAGTGATACAAATCGGGAAATGTGAGAAATTGCAATTTCCTTTTATTCATTTCAAATCTTAAACAAGCAATGAATACTACTGCTCCATAACGTCTGTAAATATTTAAATACTTATTTATATATATATATATATAAAATCGTATTAAATAATATAATTAGAAATAATAAAATGAATCTCTATGTACTTGGCAAGATCTTCAGAAAGTAAAAAAGTTTGTCTGATATTAGTGACCAAAGAGCCTGGTAAATCTTCAACGACTTTGAAAACTCTTTTGACATTATCGTACTGTCTACGACAACTTTTTAAAGTAATTCCAGTCTTTTCCGATACTTCGTCCATGTCTTTTCTACTTTTGGACGTTAATTTTTTTCCTAGTAGTTCTCGAATAACAACGTCGTCAAATTCATAGTACCTATAAAGTAATTAAATTATAATGATTTTGATCTTATTATAGAAATAGATAAATAAGAAATTGCATACTTACATTTCAATGAGCATTTGGCTAGTTTGTGGTTCTATTTGAAATGACAGTTGTTCAGTTGCAAGTTTTGTTGGAGTATGAAGTAATTTTTCTAACAATGCATATGTACGATAATGATCAAGAACATCTGAAGTTACTAGGTCTAAAGGTGCATTAGTTAGTAAACAAATTCCACGCTGTTGTAATATATTAACTGCATCGCTTGCTGTTGAAGAATTATTGATAATATATTTGATAAAACATAGTTACATATTATAATGTTAATCGAATATAATGAAAAACTTACAAGAATTTCCGTCAACCCATAATTGATAGATTTCAGGATCAACTAGAGTATAATTACTTACAAAAACGTCAACGTCAGACATCATTTTTGAAGGTTGTATTCAGATACATGTGCACTTACATTTTTTATATATATTAATTTTATTATTATATAATTATATATTTATAGTATTTATATATATGTATATATTTTTGTTTATTTTATAAATATTTAATATTTTCTAGTTTTTATAAATTTCTTTAAACAACGTTTATGAAATGTCAGGCAGATAACAATTTTAGGTTAAAAAGTTTTATGTATATAATTATTAATTTATATATTAATTTTGTATCAAATTATTATTAGGAATGAATCTCTTTATCATGATTCTAATTATTTATAACGTACATTAATAAATATGCACATACACACTATTATTTTTTAGTCGATTACAAATTGTGTTTATCGAATTTGAAGAGGTTTTTTCACACATGATTCTACTTATATCAGCTAGATAGAGTCATCATAATTTGACGCTCAAAATCAGTGTCAAACGTTACCATTGGATTGCACCTTCAGTTTCAGAAACTAACTATAATGAATTATGATTTACAACAATATAAAATAATTTAAATAGTACGCCAGTAAGCGACTCGAGTTAGCCACTATAGTGGTGCATGGACCTGAAAAAAATATCCGAAAAAGCCACTCTCATGGCAGGTCGGCTAAGCACCATATTGAAAATAGAAATGCTCTACCTTTATCTTATCGACAGTCGGTATTAGAATTTACCGACCGAGAAGATCTGATGGTAATTTACCATCAGAATTACCGACAGTAGTTTTGTATTTTCAATTATAAATTACTGATTAAATAATTAAATAATAAAGCGAGCAATCATAGATTTTGATTGAGCAATTAGTGAGCTATTAACAGCACTTATTCATTTCTTTCTGCTCTTGAGGTTTCTCCTGCGGTGAAGTTTTTTCTACTGTCGGTAATTCTGATGGTAAGTTACCATTAGATTTTCTCGATCGGTAAATCATATTACCGACTGTCGATAAGATAAAGGTAGATCACTACTGTTACCGATATGATGCTTAGCCATGTTACTAGAATTTCAATATATTTTAAACTTTCTTATTTCCTAGTAACTTTTAATAGCAAGGAGTGTACACAAAGTGAATGTGTAATTAAATTCTTTATACATTTTAAACCAAACAACAATTAGAAATCTAATATAGATATTTTGTTTTAATTATTAATTAAAGGAGTTTACTCATTAAGAACGATTGTCTTGGGACAAGTACGGGAAAAAGACTTACTAGATTAAAAAAAAGAGCGATATCATATTTGAGCTAGAAAAACCTGTCTTTCTATAATTATTCTTGAATTAAAAACTTGTTTCGAGATTGATGTAAACCTTTTTTTTCGATTTTTCAATTATTAATAACTAATTAAATGATTACTTAATAAAGTGAGCAATTATATGTATGGATTTTGATTGAGATATTAGTGAATAATTAAGAGCACTTATTCATTTTTTTCTGCTGTTGCAGTTCTATGCCAATTTTTTCTGTTGTTTTCTATTTAAATTTAAATTCTATAGTGAAAAGATTTTTACATTATCCTCGTAAATCATATACACATTATTCAAACATATTAGAAATTATTTATAATAGAATCCATCTATCTTTTTATCTATTTAAAAACAAATTTCTAAATAATTCGTAGTAAAAATCTCACATATTATTCTTATATCATATATAATAATTAATTAAAAAATTCATATATACGTAAATCAAATAATATATTAAACAAATGTTTATCTTATATTTTTTATAGTTATAATTTCGGATAAGAGTCTTTCGTACGTTAGTTTAAAATGTAGAGTTGATACGAAAATCTTGATAAATATATTATTTTCCCATTATACTTAATATCACTAAAAGAGTATATATATATATACTTGATTCTGGAGTACAGTGGTAGCATGTTGTATTCTTTCTATCTTCTTTTTCTTTCACTTTCTCTCTCTCTTTCTCTCTCTCTCTTTTACTATTTCTCTATTTCTGGGGGTGTTTCACTATTATCTCTCTCTCTCTCTCTCTCTCTCTCTCTCTCTCTTTTGCCGAGTCTGTCTTTCGCAGAGAGGAGGAAGGAAACGCTCCAGGAAATTCATTTGCAGAGACGTGGCACTGCGCGGCAAAACACGAATGATATATTTACATGGCGCCGAGGGAGAAACCGGCGAGATGGATTTACTCGAGAGAGCTTTATCGAGCGTTACGAGCTACCGTGCACGACGTATAAAGCGTACCTTTCGAGAAGGAGAAAGGGATCCGAATAGATAGATAGATAGATAGATGGATAGATAGATGGGTAAATAAAATAAGAGAGAAGATTATTATTCNTTGCCGAGTCTGTCTTTCGCAGAGAGGAGGAAGGAAACGCTCCAGGAAATTCATTTGCAGAGACGTGGCACTGCGCGGCAAAACACGAATGATATATTTACATGGCGCCGAGGGAGAAACCGGCGAGATGGATTTACTCGAGAGAGCTTTATCGAGCGTTACGAGCTACCGTGCACGACGTATAAAGCGTACCTTTCGAGAAGGAGAAAGGGATCCGAATAGATAGATAGATAGATAGATGGATAGATAGATGGGTAAATAAAATAAGAGAGAAGATTATTATTCTCACTAATTTTTGTTCTATCGAACATTTTTAATGGCAATTATATTTTGGTATTCTTTATTTATATTGTTTTCGGATAGATAGATAGATAGATAGATAGGTAGATGGGTGTAGATAGAATAAAAGTATTTATTTTTAATTTTTTAAAAATGCAACACATATATATTGAATCTTTTTTTTTATAATTTTTATTTATAATAAAAAAAAAGCAAACCGCAAATACACATAAATATACGATCATTTTTATATTTCGAGAATAACTTACACGTGTTGTTTAGTATTTTTGTTTTATTTAATATTATATACATATATAATATTAAAGATAATAAGAGATATCATTATCAATCATTTATAAATTTATCTAGCGTACAATTTCTAATGGAACATGTCGATGCGAAATGTTTTTCTATGAATAAGAGATGAAATTTCTATTTTTCTTTCTATAATAAAAAAAAGAAAAGAAAAAAGATCTTTCTTTTATTTTCGAGCAATTATAAGATCGCTCGTGGGGATTCTAATAAATATTATTATTATTATTCTTATTATTATTATCCGTGTTTATATTCGACCGGGAAAAATATGCACGTGGGATGATGATATCGATGTTAAAAATTTGTCGAAATAAAAAACAAAAAGAAAAAAAAAAAAAAGAAAACGAAAAAGAAAGTGAAAGATAATGAAGTAAAACTATACGAAAAAAGGGTAACCTTGACATCTCGCTCATTTACACTATATTACAACTTCTTTCCTTCTCACTCTCTCTCTCTCTCTCTCTCTCTATCTTTCTTTCTTTTATTTTTTATTTTTCTCGTTACATAACACTAATGTTTTTTGTTTAATGCCACTTTCGTTATCTATTTCTTATGATAAATGTTACGTTACGTTATTAAACTCGACTGTTCGTCGTCACGTTTCAAAATTCAATATAAATAATTACGATATTACTTATTTATGCATTATTATTAGCATTATTACTAATATTCATTCAAAAATCCCTACATACACATATGTGCATTATGTTTGTCATATTTGATATACATATATACATACATACATACATACATACACATATACATATATAAATTTACGTATTATGTTTAGTATAATATTCATATTTACACGTACATACAGAAGATTTCCACGCGTGACAAGTTTTATGAAATATACAACAACTCACGTTAAAGCAAGTGATAAGTATTATGTTTTATAAATCAATTTTTTTTTATTTTGTTTTTAAATCTTTTTCTCTCTCATTTGCGTGATTGAAAAGGCAAAAGGGGTAAAAGTAACATTTTTTTGTTTGTTTTCAAAATTTATCATTCGAATATTACATTACAATGAAATCTGTTTCCTTTTTTGAAATATTTCTTCTTAATTAACATACACATATTTGGTTTATATTCAAATGAAATGAAATTATATAATATTATAGGATAACGAATTCATTTGCATTGTACACATTTGTTTATTTAAAATAAACAATATTATTCGATCGATTATACGATAACTAAATATCTCTTTCTCTCTCTCTCTCTAATTAATAGTTATATCTATACAAAAAAAAAAAAAGAAAAAAATTTTCAAATCTGATAAATATTTACTAAAGAGAATACTGTTGTGGTCTATATCTTTCTTATTTTTTTTCTTCTTCCTATTTTTCTAATTTTTTTACATTTTCATTTATTTTTAATCGCTTCCCCTTTTCGCTTTCAAATAATTTGAATTTTCTAATTTACACAAGAGACTCTTTTTCGTAAGTTAACATATACGAATACTTTTATTCATATTGTTATATATATATATTATTCAATAAGATCGTTCGAGTAATTTGTAAATAAACATATTTAAATATTACACGAATATTCGTTGCTTATATAAATCAAAACAATTTATATTAATAAAAATAAAACGAAAGTAATTAAAAGAAAAAGA